GCTTGGGGTTTGGATGGGGCAGAGTTTGTAAGGAGCATCCAAGACGGCTTCTTGAAACAGTATGTAGATAGTCCAACTAGGAAAGGGGCCGTACTGGACCTAGTATTGGGGAATGAGCCTGGCCAGGTGGTCGACGTCTTAGTAGGGGAGCAGCTTGGGAACTGAGATCACAATTCAGTAAGCTTTTTAAAAGATACTGATGGATAAAGATCAGTGTATCTGTCAGGTGAAGGTGCTAAATTGGGGGAAGGCTAATTACAACAATATTAGGCAGGAACTGAAGAATGTAGATTGGAGGCACATGTTGGAGGGCAAATCAACATATGGTATGTAGGAGGCTTTCAAGCGTAAGATGCTCGGAACTCAGGACCGGCACATTCCTTTAAGGATGAAAGATAAGTATGGCAAGTTTAGGGAACCTTGAATAACGAGAGATATTATGAGCCTAATCAAAAAGAAAAAGGAAGCATTTATCAAGGCTAGGAGGCTGGGAACACATGAAGCAAGGATGGAGTACAAGGAAAGTCGAAGGAAACTTAAGCAAGGAGTCAGGAGGCCTAAAAGGAGTCATGAAAAGTCATTGGCCAACAGGATTAAGGAAAATCCCAAGGCTTTTTATACATATATAAAGAGTAAGAGGGTAGCCAGGCAAAGGGTTGGCCCACTCAAGGGCAGGGAAGGGAATTTGTGTGGGGCTAGAGGAAAATCGGTGAGGTATTAAATGAATACTTTGCGTCAGTATTTACCATAGAGAAGGACTTGGTGGATGAGGAGTCTGGGGAAGGGTGTGTAGATAGTTTGGGTCATGTTGAGATCAAAGGGGAGGTGGTATTGGGGGTCTTGATAAACATTAAAGGTAGACAAATCCCCAGGGCCTGATGGGATATACCCCAGAATACAGGGAGAAGCAAGGGAGGAAATTGCTGGGGCCTTAAGTGAAATCTTTGTATCCTCACTGGCTACAGGGGAGATCCCAGAGGATTGCAGAATAGCCAATGTTTTTCTTTTGTTTAAGAAAGATGGCAAGGATAATCCAGCTAATTACATGCCAGTGAGCCCTACATCAGTGATAGGGAAATTATTGGAGGGGATTCTTCAAGACAGGATTTACTCACACCTGAAAATTATTATTAGCGACAGGCAACATGGTTTTGAGAAGGGGTGGTCGTGTCTCACTAACTTGGTTGAGTTTTTTGAGAAAGTGACGAAGATGATCGATGAAAGTAGGGCAGTAGGTGTTGTCTATATGGACTTCAGTAAGGCCTCTGATAAGGTCCCTCATGGCAGGCTGATACAGAAGTTAAAGTTGTACGGGGTCAGAGGTGAGCTTGCAAGATGGATAAAAAACTGGCTGTGTCGTAGAAGACAGATGGTAGCAGTGGAAGGGTGCATTTCTGAATAGAGGGCTATGACTAGTGGCGTTCCTCAGGGATCAGTGTTGGGACCTTTGCTGTTTGTAATATATATAAATGATTTTGAGGAGAATGCAACTGGTCCAATGAGGACCGTCAAAGGATACAGCTGGATATAGATCAGTTGGTGACTTTGGCAGAGAGATGGCAGATGGAGTTCAATCCAGAAAAATGTGAGGTAATGCACTTTGGAAGGGCTAATCCAGATGGAAAATATACAGTAAATGGCAGAACCCTTAAGAGTACTGATTGGCAGAGGGATCCGAGTGTACAGGTACACAGGTCACTGAAAGCGGCAACCCAGGTGGAAAAAAGGTAGTCAACAAGGCATACGGCATACTTGCCTTCAATCGGCCAGGACACGGAGTTTAAAAATTGACAGGTAATGTTGCAGCTTTATAGAACCTTAGTTAGGCCGCATTTGGAATATTGTGTTCAATTCTGGTCGCCACACTAACAGAAGGATGTGGTGGCTTTGGAGAGAAAAGATTTACCAGGATGTTGCCTGGTATGGAGGGCATTAGCTATGAGGAGAGGTTGCAGAAACTCTAGTTGTTCTCAATAGAATAACGGAGGTTGTTGGCAGGATCTGATAGATTTCTACAAGATTATGAAGGACATGGACAGACTGAACAGTCAGAAGCTTTTTCCCCCAAGGTGGAAGAGTCAGTTACCAGGGGCCATGGATTTAAGGATCGAGGAGCAAGGTTTAAAAGGTGATGTACAAGGCAAGTTTTTTTTTTTTTTAAAAACACAGAGGGTGGTGGGTGCCTGGTTCTTGCTGCCAGGGGAGATAGTGGAAGCAGATACTATAGTGACTTTTAAAGGGCATCTTGACAATTATATGAATAGGATGGGAATAGAGGGATACAGTCCCTGGAAGGGTACAGAGTTTTAGTTGTGACGGGCAGCACGTCGGTGCAGGCCTGGAGGGCCGAAGGGCCTGTTCCTGCACTGTAATTTTCTTTGTTCTTTGTTCTAACTCATTACAGAATTAAATTTCTAACGGAAAACAGTATAGAGAAACTAAGTAGATGATTTAATTAAACACTTCCCTCTGGAAGCCGACAAAAACAACAGGAACTTTTACTTTTACAGGACTTCAAACCTGAGCAGTTAAAAAAAGTGCAGCTGCCAAAAGCTAGAGAGAGATTAAAGTCATAGATGTGCTAGAAGTGAAGGAGCTCAACAACACTAAGGCATGGGTGTAGTGCCCATGATCAAGGGGGTGGTAGGAGGTGGTGTCGGAGAGTTGGCGTCTGGCCTCGGCGATAGCTCTTTTTCTGAAGAAGGGTCTAGGCCCGAAAAGTCAGCCTTCCTGCTCCTCTGATGCTGCTTGGCCTGCTGTGTTCATCCAGCTCTACATCTTGTTAACTAAGGCATGGAATTGCTCTGAAAGGATAGGGAGGACTGATTTGTAAACAAGGACAAAATGTGAGATCTATTTGAAAATGGACCTTTGCAGGTTTTATGCCTAAGAAGTGACCTGATTTAGTAAACGCAGGATGTATGCTTTTTCAGCTTAGCCAGTGTAATTTAAGTACTTACTAGTATTAATACTTAATACTTAAGTATTTATTAATTAGCTTCAGGCAGATTTCACTGGGACAACTTGCACAAGTGTGTTAAGAAGGGTAATTTCCTTTGTTATATAGAGGGTCAGTTAAGCATAGCAGCTAATCACCCGAGGCAACATTGAGAGTACATTTAGTTTACACATACAGCTCATATGCCAAATTTCCTGTCTCAGTGGTGGATAACTGACACACTGAGGACTGGAAACTATTGGAGAAAAAAAAAAGTAATTCGAAGTTTTTCTTTCCCCCTTGCAGTTGGGTGCAGACCAGAGGTCTGGCTGTTAATTCCAGGTTGACGTGCAGCAGGATACTGCTAAGCAGAAGGCATCATTGTGGAAGTTCATAAAATCCTTCTACCACAGAAGGGCATCCACCTTGATGCCAAAGACACTTACTGCCATGAAAAAGAATAAGATGATACCTTACCAACTTGCTAATCTGCCTGTGAATCTTTCCACATTGCATCATTCTCCAGAGGGGGAGGGTGGAGTTGTGGAAAAAGATACAAAAAAAAAGGCCCATCAGCTGATTCCAATATTGGTTCAAATCTAGGGGGAAGCTTCCTGTCTGGAAATGTTCATCTGACTGACATAAATTGTACAAATACAAAGAAAAAAAAAGTCAATGATACAATATTATGTTTGCATTAACTTTGTTTTCCCCTCAAGATAGCAGATATGATTCTTAAGTTATAACCTCTGAAAACTACACTAGCGTACAGTTGTTTACATTTAGTTATCACTGAACGCTTGAAATGCGACACAGACTCTTACAGAAAGTTAAAGAAATAACCACCTGTTTAAATCATATAGATTAAACAACATCATATTGCCAACAATCTTCCACATTTCAGGTGAATTTTTTTTGAGCACTGTTGTTGAAGCAACGTCATTGAAAAGGGTAAAACAATGTTTTCTTAATTAAGGCTCCTACAGCATGAGAAAAATCAACGAGCGCTGAATGGTACAAAATCAAAGGCAAGGTCAGTCTTATAATTAAGATTTCACTCATTGAATAATAATTGTGGTACAACAAGAAAGGAATTTAAGAAATAATAAGTTAACAAGTTGTATCAACCCTGTTGGTTCAACTTAAAGAGCTGTTTATTAAGGAATTTTTAAGGTAAGGTGTCAGTTTCTTCCTTTAATTATGCTTTTTATTTTATTACCACATTATCATATGCCGTATGTCAAATAGTGGAGGTGTAAGAAAAGTATAAAAGGATCTTGTGGTGCAGTTATAGTAGTCTCCCTACCTCTGGGCCTACAAGTCCTGGCTCAAGTACAACCTGCCTCAGAAATGTGTCATAACATGCCCAAGCAGGTTGGCTCAAGTCAAAAATTAGACTGAGCATTTGAATTCTAAATGGTTCAATTATTCTGAATGCTTAGCTTAGAACTATAACAGATTTGTTGTCTCAAATCATTAGGTAAGGTGGGAGTATTTTAAATTTCTAAACAGTATTCTTACATACTACTGCATGCATAACATATTTAAGAAGTACATGTACGCAACATCCACATTTCAAGAAACTTAACACAAAAGGTAAAAAAATGTCTAAATAAGAAATTTCAAAAATCCTCTAGACTGTTCACGCTTACACAAACTGTATAATTTGCAATAAACCATATGGCTTCAAATGTTTACATTATGTGATGTTTTAATTAAATCATTCACAATACTGCTCAATTAAGCAACAGTCAATAGATGAATTATAAAAGGGCTTTTTTTGAATATCCATAAATTTAGATTGTGCAACAAAACAGATCGAGAAAATTTAGATTGAACTGAATGAAAATGTCGTCGATATCCAAAGTCACATGCATAATCAACAAATCGTGGAGGAGTTAAATGTGTAGCAAAGAGCCACAAGTCAATTGTTAAAAGAAAAGCCTTTTGTAACAGTTCTCCTTTTTGAATAAAGAAAGCAAAGACTGTATCACCTGATTGATTTTTCATAAACCACAGACGAGAAAAAAAAATCCCAAAATTTAAAAACAAAAGTAATTACCATTGTAACCCCAAGTATTGCAGGGCTCACTATGAAAACAGGAGCTCGCCCAAATCCTTGACTTCTTTCCCAGAAAGCATAGAAAAGGTCTGTCCAGCAGATTATCCACAACACAAATCCCAATGCCTGCAAGAAAGAAACAAATATTGTTTAAAAAAAAAAAAAAAAAGCATTAAGGCTAGAAATGAGGTGATATTAAAATATCAATAGATGGATTATAGTCCAATAAATAATATATACAAAAATAAATCATAATGCATAATTAAACAATTTTAATAATCTAATATTTTCCCTGAAAGGTTTATAATGAAGCAATAGCCACCCCATTTAACATGAATTCACGTCTTCAGTATCTTGCGAACTCTGAAATTCCTATATTAATCCAAAGACACAATTTTGTCCTCCAGACAGCCTTGGGGCACTGCAGAATTTAAATGTTTGAGAGCAAAGGAAACAGCAAAGAGCAATGAGCAATCAGAGAAGAGGACAGAGACTGTACATGGAAATGGAATGAACATAACAGCAAGAGAAAAAGCCATATTAAAAGGTTATGGATAAAGATCAAACAGAAATGAGAAAATGTAACTCAGATTCCTCTAAAGCTCATATTCAGAAACTAAGAAAACCGATAAGTTGCATTCATAGAGCATTGCTCATCAATAATGCCCTTGAGATCTAGGCAGCATTTAACCAAGTATGACCCAAAGGAGCTCACATAAAATTAAAGTAAATAGGAATTGAGGGAAGGTTCTCCATTGGCAGCCCTTCAGAAGATAGGTCTGGTTATTGGAGGCTAATCTTCAGTAGTGATGTCCAAGGTTTAAGGAGTTCTTCAGGCGCAACATCCAAACATCTTGTTATTCCATCATAAATGCAAAAATGGAGATAAATCACCGATGACTGCAGTGCTCATTTCAATTTATAACTTCTCAAAATAACAAAGTCATCGGTGCCAACAAGACCGAGACTATTACTTTGTTTGGTCAAAACCCCGGAACTCGCTTCCTGACAGCATTAGGGGTGTACCTTAACCACACAAATTTGAGCAGAACAGCTTGCCACCATTTTCTTGTGGGCAATTAGCAATGGTGAATAAATGCTGCCTTTGTCAGTGACATCTAATGTCACACTTAATGATAAAGATCCTGGGGTGTGTTGCTGAACAAGAGAGACCTTGGACTGCAGGTTGACAGTTCCTTGCAAGTGGAGTCACAGGTAGATACGATAGTGAAGAAGGCATTTTATATGCTTGCCTTTATTGGTCAGTGTACTGAGCTGGGAGGTCATGTTAAGGCTGTACAGGACATTGGTTAGGGTACTATTGGAATGCTGTATTCCGGTCTCCTTGCTATAGGAAGGATGTCGTGAAACTTGAAAGGGTTCAGGAAGGATTTACAAGGATGTTGCCAGAGCTGGAGGGTTTGGGCTATAGGGAGACGCTGAATAGGCTGGGGCTATTTTCCCTGGAGCATCAGAGGCTAAGAGATTTAGGCAAGGTCTTTTCCCTGGGGGGGGGAAAAAAAGAGAGGAGGGAGGGAGTCCAAAACTACAGGACATGCGTTTAAAAGGTGAGAGGGAAAAAAAAGATTTAAAAAGGGACCTAAGGGGCAACTTGCGTGTATGGAATGAGCTGCCAGAGGAATTGGAGGAGGCTAGTACAATTACAACATTTAAAAGGCATCTGGACAGGTACATGAAAAGAAAGGGTTTAGAAGGGTATGGGCCAAATGCTGGCAAATGGGACTAGATTTATGTAGGATATCTAGCCGGCATGGACAAGTTGTACCAAAGGGTCTGTTTCCATGCTGTACATCTCTATGACTCCACGTACAAGTGAAAAGAAAAATCTGAAAGACAAGGTGTACATAAATATATGGTAGCAAGATTAAATATCTTTGTTTCTTACCGTTTTAATTTTATTGAGAAGTGACATTCTAATGTAACCTCGGTCATGATAACGAAGAAACAGAAAGTAGAATGGGAAACAAATCCAGATGTAGATGCAAGGGATCCAGACTAAGATAGTTATTTGGAAGCAGTGTGTAAAATCTGGATTGTCTGTGTACCATGTTTTGTTTAAATCCTGCAATACACAAAAATGAACAAATTAAAAACTAAAATAGAACAAGTAAAATCACGACACATTTATGGTTACAAATGCACTCAGTCCGTCTGCTCGTTACAGCATGGGAAAATACTTTCCCTTCTAAGCAAAACAGTCAGATATTGCAGCTCCAGCAGTATTTTGCCTGCTGGAGATAGGGGAAGGGAAAACTAAATACTTAATCATATTCTATTCAGACTGAGACAAAAGTAGCATCACTTTCCCGCACCGCAACTGACCCCACAAGTTCCAAGTCACAATTTGAGAGCTTTAAATTTTAATAAAGTCAAACAGAAATGCTGAAAATACAATTTGATCAGCATTTGCAAAGAAAAAGAAATAAATTAAACCACTGAGATACAAACCCTCTGCCAGAGCTGCAAAGTAGAAAATAAACAAACAAACAAACAAACATTCTCCTTGATAGGACACAAAATGAAAGGTGGGAAGAAATAAGATGAAAGAACATAACTCATCAATTGTCAAGTGACAGCAGTAATTAATTATTTTGAAGCAGGAAAATTGTGGTCTAATGGAAAGCAAAATATAGCATGCAAATAACAGAATATTAAGAAAGTGATGGTGCATGGCATTAAAGAATGACAAAAGAAAATGTAACATCTACCTGGAAAGATAAGTTAGTTGTACAAGAGAAATAAACAAGACAAAACAGTCTACCCCTGAGACCACACAGAATGGAGCTGGAGGAACACAGCAGGCCAGGCAGCAGAGGAGCGGGAAAGTTGAAATTTCGGGTTGGGACCCTACTTCAGAAATGAGAAGGGGGAAGGGAGCTGGGAAATAAATAGAGAGAGGAGGTATGGTGATAGGTGAGTACGGGTAGAGTGCGGTGGGGATTGGTCAGTGGGATGGGAGGGGCGGATAGGTGGGAGAGAAGATGGACAGGCTGTGTCAGGTCAAGGAGGCAAGGATGAGACGGAGGCTTGAACATGGAAGGAGGCCAGGAGCAGGAAGATTTTAAAACTGGTGAATTTGATGTTTAGACCATCGGGCTGTAGGCTCCCGAGGCGGAATATGAGATGCTGCTCCTCCAGTTTGCAGGTGGTGTCATTGTGACTGGAGGAGGCCCAGGGTGGACATGTCGCCCAGGGGAGGTGTAGAGGCAGGTGTAGCACTTCCTGCAGTTGCAGGGAAAGATGCCAGGGGGGTGGTGGGGTTACTGGGGAGTGTGGAGTGGACAGAGAGAGAGCGGTCCCTACAAAAGGCAGATAGGAATGGGGTGAGAAATATCTCTTTGGTTCTGGGGTCAGATTGTAGGTGGCAGAAGTGGCGGAGAATGATACGTTGGATGCGGAGGTTGGCGGGGTGATTTGTGAGGACAAGGGGGATTCTGTCTTTATTTTTGTTAGGGGGAGGGAATGTGAGGGCACAAGTGCGGGAAATGCAAGAGATGCGGTTGACAGCATTTTCGATCACTGGAAGTTGGTGGGGGGGGTGGAGAAGTTACGGTCCTTGAAATAGGAGGACATCCGAGATGTGCGGGAGTGGAAGGTCCCATCTTGGGAGCAGATGCGGCGGAGGCAGAAGAATTGGGAGTAGGGGATCGCATTCTTGCGGGAAGGTGGGTGAGAGGTGGTGTAGTCCAGGTAGCTGTGGGAGTCGGTGGGCTTGAAATCGATGTCAGTTTCGAGGTGGTCACTACAGATGGAGACGGAGAGGTCCAGGAAGAAGAGGGAGGTATCAGAGATGGTCCAGGTGAATGAGGTTGGAATGAACGGCGTTAGTAAAGTTGATGAACTGTTCAAGCTCCTCATGGGGGCACAAGCCAGCGCCGATACAGTCATCATCAATGTAGTGGAGGAAGAGGTGGGGTATAATGCCAGTGTAACAGCGGAAAAAAGGGTCTGTTCCACGTATCCTACAAAGAGGGAGGCATAGCTTGGGCCCATGGCCACCCCCTTAGTGTTTCGGAAGTGGGAGGAGTTAAAGAAGTTGTTAAGGGTAAGGACAAGTTCTGTTAAGCTACCTCTGAAATTGGCTGAAGGTTATATTCAGATCAGAGTACGCAGTAGAAAGATACAGTGCATATTTGCAAAGATATTGTTCTGAACAGCACTGGAAGGAGGAAAAAGAAGAGGTTGCTGAAAAAGTCCTCCATACTCTTCAAAAGGAATTCAAATTGCAAGCAACAAGGAAATATACTGGATGAGAGGAAGCACACACACACACACACACACACTCTCATTGAAGGGATGTTTGGGGCTCTAGATAATGGTGCAAAAGAATGCAAACTGCTAGGTGTTGGATTCACGGTGATCGTATGGGAAACTTTTGCAAAAAGAAAGCTCAAAATCAGGTTGGCGGAATTGTGATAATGATATATTTAAGAATATCTTTGAAAAGATGAAGGCAAAGACATTAGGAGCTAATTACGGAACCAGGTTAGAAATATCAAACAATGAGCTAATGAATGCAAAGACTAGAAGTCAAGCATCAACCAATATCATAGTTATTGTAAATGGAAGGGGGAAGGATATGACCAAAGTATTGTTAAACATGACAAATAATATCAAAGGCCCAGTGAACAGACAAAAAAAAAAGACATTTATAGAAAATGCAATCAAAGTACGTGCTAACATTAAAAAAAAAAATTTGAAAAGGATCTAAGTGGGTGTATAGAAACAAAATCTAGAAACATGTGGTTTATAATTGGTTAAAGAGGGAAGTCCAGAAAATGTTGGCCCAACAGAAACTGACGATGTTCAAGTGACAGAGAGTGGAGATTAGACAAAGAGTTGCATAAATTATGGGAACAATGCCACAAGTAACATCAGAAGAGTTTCCCAAACATTCATAAGGAAAAATCCCTTAGGCTCAGGATTTTTTTCACATAGTGATCCGTGGGATGTGGGTGTCACAGGCTGGGCCAGCACTTATTACCATTCCATTGAGTTTAGCTGTTGATACAAGTGCTGGAAAGTGAATAGCTTCTTTGTCTGAAATAACAATCTTTCCTTCCTGTACTTTGCAAGAACATTTGGTTAGCAATTGTAAGACTATCCTTACTGGATCAAAATACCTTTTGAAGTCTATGGGTCTGAAGGGGTGGATATTAGGAGGTGCCCTAAGCACCACCCACGATGATGAAGTCATATGGGCTTGAGGCCAGAACAGCTTCAGATCTCAAAGTAGTAAGGCTTACCATTCCAGGTTGTCCTCAGTCTCGACAGCAACATCCATCATATCAACATAACTTGTAAATGGTTGTTATCATGAACTAAACTATTTGTACAATACAAAATTATGCCATTTATATAACGATTTGGATGTGAACATAGGAGATACGATTAATAAGTTTGCAAAATTGGTGGTGTAGTCGAGAACAAAGGAGTTTACTTCAGAGTACAACAGGACTTTGACCAGATCGGCCAAGGACTGGCAGATAGAGTTTAATTTAGATAAATATAAGGTGTTGCACTTTGGAAAGGCAAATCAGGGCAGGACTTACACACTTAAGGGTATGGTCCTGTGCAGTGTTGCCGAACAAAGTGACCTTGGCGTGCAGGTTCATAGTTCCTTGAAAGCAGAGTCGTAGGTGGATAGGATAGTGAAGGCAGCATTTGGTAAGCTTGCTTTTATTGGTCAGTGCATTGAGTACAGGAGCTGGGAGGTCATGTCACGGCTATACAGGACATTGGTTAGGCCATTTTTGGAATACTGCGTTCAATTCTGGTCTCCCTGCTACAGGAAAGATGTTGTGAAACTTGAAGAGGGTTCAGAAAAGACTTACAAGGATGTTGCCAGGGTTGGAGAGTTTCAGTCTCTCCCTATAGCTGAATAGGCTGGGGCTATTTTCCCTGGGATGTCAGAGGATGAGGGGGTCACCTTCTAGACGTTTATAAAATCATGAGGGGCATAGATAGGGTGAATAGTCAAGTTCTTTTTCCCTTCTCACCTTAAATCTAAGCCCTCTAGTTTGAGCCTCCCCTACACCAGGGAAGAGTTAAAAGAAACCTAAAGGGCAACTTTTTCACGTAAAGAGTGGCGCATGTATGGAACAAGCAGCCAGAGGAAGTGGTGGAGGCTGGTACAATTACAACATTTAAAAGGCATCTGGATGGGTATATGAATAGGAAGGATTTAAGAGGGATACAGGCCAAATGCTGGCAAATGATACTAGATTAATGTAGAATATCTGGTCTGCATGGAGTTCATTTCCACGCTGTACATCTCTATTGCTCTAAAAGGTCTTTTCTCATCAGATCATATTGTGGTTTTCCTCTGCAGCACTAGACTGAGCACGCTTTGTAGATCACTAACCTTAAAAAGAGAACAGTGGCACAAACCTACCACGTGATAAGGTACAGACTTGATTTGACAGCACACACAAAACTGTTAAGGACATAAGCTAAAACTTCAAGTGACAGAAAACCCTAGCACAAACAGATTCCATTGACTCAGTACTTCAGAATTTACACCAAATTGGAGAAAGATGGCTCACTTGGACACCAATAGGGAGGATGGGGTCATTCAAATTCTGATCATTGTTAAATCACACTACTAGACTGGAGTCATTTGATATACTGGCTGTTTTAAGCCATTATACCCGTCAAGCTAACTAGTAGAAAGAGCTAGAGTAAGGTCAGCAATTTAAACCTCAATCTCCAAATCATTGCTGAAGCGTGCACTCAGCGTCCTTTGGCATCAATTTATGGTGAAGCACAGATCTGGCAGTGTAATATTTTCTGCTCATTTTGTTAACTAACTCTGTCCATTAAAGATTTCTAAAAGATTTTCTTGCTAAATTGTCAAGAAGCCAAAACACCAGTCCTGCTGAGGCATGTTGGTGGTTACAAATTCACAATTTAGAACTTAAGCATACAAATGTTTGGTCAGAATCACGAAGCAGTTGGGCAGCAAATCTTTAAATGGACAGAGTCTGCGTTAGAAGGCAGAATCACAAAGTCACAGAATTACTAGTGCGAAAGGAGGCCATTTGGACCATAATGTCTGCACCTAGAGCTGATCTTTCCCCACACCCTTGCACATTGTTTCTTTCCAAATAATCATCCAATGCCCTCTTGAAACACTTCAATTGAACTTTCCTCTCAACACACTTTCAGGCTGTACATTCCATACTCTACTCATTAGGTGAAAAAGATTTTTCCTCATCGTGCATTTGCTTATTTTGCAAAACACTAAACTAGTGCCCGCTCATTCTCAATCCTCTTACAAATGGGAACATTCCTCTCTATTTACTCTCTCAAAATCATAGCGGATCTGATCAACTTTTCTCAGATACAATGCAAACCTAAGCGGTGAGTGCCTTCTGGAACAAAACATAAGTAATTTTTAACCTTGTCTGACAAATCAGTATCTGCAGCTTGGCCTCCAGCTTAAAACCTCTGAGCTGACATTTCTCAATCTACAATTACCACTGGCATGTTTGCCATGGCTTGTTGTAGCATGCAGGAGCTCCTGGATGCCGCTGCTATGACACACGAGTTGTCCTCCCATTCTTGTTGTGTTAATTAAGTTTATTTCTTGTGCAAATAAATTTATAGTTCCACATTTCACCCAACTCACAACTTCACAGTGCACTCAAGCAGCACCAAGTGTAGAAAAGCAACACTGAGAAACCCCTGTATTTACACTCTGAAAAAGGAGTCATGAAAATGCTGGCCTACCAATGATGCTTATATCCCAAAAAATGATTTTGTAAAATATTTGACATGCATAGACAACCAGTGTGTTGAACAATCTCCAATTACAAGTCCTGAAAAAAAAAAACCCAATGTGCCAACTTTTCCCAAAAAAAAATACATCCCTCTTATCAGAGGTCAGGCAACACAGGTGCAAGTTTGCAGAGCTAAAGACTTACAAATTCCCAAGTAGGTACGGTTGCCACTAAACCAACATAGCTTACTATAGCAGAACACTGGTAAGCTTGTGAAGCCTTAATGGCTGGACTTCAAGTGGTTGTTCAGAATCAAGCGAGAAGAATCCCAGCAGATAGTAACAAATATATTCCAGGGCATTTTGATGATCTTCCTGTATGATATAGTTGCATTACTCAAGTATTGGAATACCATGACAGCCAAATTAGGAAACATGCTGTCAAAATGCGACTACTGTCCTTCCCACCCTGACGAAAACAAACAGTCACAGGTAAATTAGAAAATTGACAGCAGGGGATTTGGACAGGATTAGATGTATAACGGCTACCACAAACTCCCCAATCTGTTTGGCAGGCAGTAGAACTCATCACAGAATGTGTCACTGCAATTCCAGACCACAGTATGGACATATATTACACCCACTAAATGATACTGGCACAATTGGGTGGTAAAAAGCAGCAGCAATCCAGTCACAGTTGGCACCCAACCTTAAAATACGATTGTGTTCTTTTATCCAGCTTCCAGATTACACCTACACTATTGCTTGATTGTAACCTGACTGAGTGCAAGCAATTTAATTTCCTTGCTGGGAACCAGTTTCCCATAATTTCAACAAAATGTATTAGGTAGTTAAGTTGAGACAGGTTTCTCAGAGTTTGAGAAAGCACAAGCAATGGAGAGGGAGTGGTTAGGATACCACACAAGGAAAAAGCTGAAAGCCTGGAAGACCAACTTGATTAGAAATGGAGGTGTAGAAGGTCTCGGACCCTAGTATTGCATATAGAAGATGTGTCGCTCCTTATTTTGTTTCTGTTTTGGATCTGAATGTACCTGAGCTGCTGAAAGTCTATTCAAAAAAAGAAAGCAAGAAAGAAAGCAAGAAAGACCCAAATTCTGTCAGGTTTTTAAAAAATTGATGGTAGAAATATAATATTAGAAGGGACCTTCTCTACGTTTGAAGTGAAGAAACAATTTTGCATCCAAATATAATTTTACTCTCCAATCAACCAACCTTGTAACTAACAAGGGGTGCCAAAATTAGTAAAGTATTCCTTTCTCAATGTGGCCAATAGTGAACTCGAGAAACACAAGTATTAAAACGCCCCTTACACCAAAAAGAACTGAGATACCATAAACTTCAGAACTTTAATAACAACTGATTATGGATTGAAAGAATCAGCAACAACTCTGTCTGGAATAAACTGTTACGGGACAAGGACAAACTTTTATTCAGGAATTGAAAGCAATTAGCCATGCCTGGGAAAAAAGGAGTAGAAGCTACATAAACAAAATTGTTTTTAGCAACTGCTTGCTAAACAATTTGATCCCTCATGCCACAAGGACAAATGATTGCCCTGCAGAAACATTTAAGGAGTTAATCACAGGAACGTTGTGTGTTCAAACGGAAAAGCCAATGCCAAACATAAGGAGGAACAGGAAAGCTACTCTTGATAGAGGAAGCAAGCTTAATAGCTCCAGGAGTAGTAGCCAATATTTTGGATGAAACAACCTAAAGAATTATCAATAATTTCACACCACAAACTTGAATAAGACAAAATTGCATAAAAATTCAACTCCAGGCCTCTTCAGCACCAGAACTTTGAAAGAACAACTGCACAAGGATCAAACCATGGACACCTAGAGACAGACACTGTTGGACGGAATCATAGTAAAAATCTACCTTAAAATTGGAGTAATAGCTAAGTTGGGTTGTGAGACTTAACCTGCTTACTTGAGGGGATTTATTTTGATTGCTACATACAACAAAGTTTAAATAATCGTTTCTGTAGTCGATTGTCTGTGAGATACCTTATCATGTAGCCAAATTAAAAAGGTAGCTTTACCCACAACAGAACAAATATTTGAATGTCATGCCCGTATTTAAAAGATGCAATGAAGTAATTGTCAGTAGAGCACTGCAGGGTAGGTTACATCAATTGGCTGGATGTTTGCAATGCAGAATGACACCAATGTAGGTTCAATTCCCAAACCAGCTGATATCACAAATGAAGGTCCTGCCTTCTCAACATCACCCCCTCACTAGAGATGTGGTGACCCTCGGGTTAAACTCCCCACAATTGTCTCTCTCTAATGAAACCACTCAGACTATGGAAACTCTACTTAATGGACCCAAAAGAACGAAAAGGTCTTTTTTTCTTTATTCATTAATAATGGGATAAAGATGTCGCTGACTAGATAGCATTTATTGTCCTAATTGTCCAGAGGGCAGTTCAGAGTCAACCACATTTCTGTGGGCCTGGAGTCACATGTAGGCCAAACCAGGTAAGGATGGCAGTTTCCTTCCCTAAAGGACATTAGTGAACCAGGTGGGTTTTTTTTCCT